TTATCTTAGGATGGGTCAAGTGAGCCTTTTCATATTGTCATATTTGTACAAGAATCATCTAGAATTCAATCACTGAAGTTATTTTCTTAACACAGCATGTTTGCAAGATAACATTTGGTAGCTTGCTGGAATGGAAGTTATGCTTCATAATAAAAACCTAGTGGGCTGGGGGTGTAGCACACCAGCAGAGCACTTACCTAGCACTTACCTTTCACATGAAAGGCCCTGGGTTTGCACTCTAGCACCTTGGGCATTTGGTAATTGCTTGTAATGGTAGCTACTTGGGAGGCTGAGATTGGGAGTATAATAATGATGGCAGCCCAGGCTCCCACTCTCCCCCCAAAAGGCAAGACCCTATCTCTACCAAGTAAAATAAAAATTTAAGCTGGGCATTGACACTATAGGAGTGAACTTATAGTCCTAGCTACTCAGGAAGCTAAGATCTGAAAATCTCAGTTCAAAGTTACCTTGGGCAGGAAAGTCTATGAAACTCTGCTCTCCAATTAAGCACCAAAAATCAAGAAATACAGCTGGGGCTCAAGTTAGTAGAGTGTGAGCCTTGAGTGAAAAAAACTAAGGAACAGTGCCCATGCACTGAGTTAAGCCCCAGTACTGGAACCAAAAAAAAAAAAAGAAAGAAAGAAAGAAAAAGAAAAAAGAAGAAAGAAAGAAAAAAAGACAGAAAAGAGGCTGAGGGAAATGGTATGTGGCTATAATTCCAGCTACTCAGAAGTCAGACGTTGGGGAAGATAGCAGATCAAAGACAGGCCAAAAAAATAAAAAAGTTACTCAACAAAGAAGCTGACATGTGCATGCCTGTAATCCCAGATATAGAGGAGAAGGTAGGCAAGAGGATTAAAGTCTGAGGCCAGCTGAGCAAACAGTTTGATACTCTATCTGAAAAATAACTAAAGCATGCTGGGGATATAACTTGAGTGGTAAAGCTTCCATGCCTAAATTCAAACTCCAGTACCACCCCCACCACACACACATGTGAAAATGTAACTCATAGAGTTGGAGAAAAACATTAACAATTATATATCTGCTAGGACTTGAATTGGCCCCAACTTTCTTGTATGTATGTCACATAGAGGGTCTAAGTGAGAGAATCTGCTGCTGCAATTGTTACTCGCTATTGACATTCTGCTTTCCTCACATCCCCATGTTTAATGCTGCTATTTTTCTAACACAGACCTTAAAGAATGTTTTGCTTTCTGGCACATTTTTAATTACTGAAAAAACTGAATATGCTTAAAATACTCCATTTATATGTAATTTTTCAGACCCTTTAGGATTTGGACCCTGTAATGGTTTCCCTTCCTTCCTTCCTTCCTTCCTTCCCTCCCTCCCTCCCTCCTTCCTTTCTTCCTTTCTTTCTTTGCCTCCTGCAATCTTTCAGCTTTATCTTTCTATTCCTGTGCCCTCTGTACTCTGGTCTTTAAGTCTACTTCTATGAATAGGAAAATAAAAAAGTCTTTGCTACCAGGCACCAGTGGCTCATGCCTGTAATCCTATCTACTGAGGTGGCTGAGATCGGAGACTTTGTTTGAAGCTAGCCAGCCCAGAAAAGTCAGTGAGATTCTTAGCTCCAATTAACCATGAAGAAGGCAGAAGTGGCGCTGTGGCTCAAGTGGTAGAGTGCTAGCCTGGAACAAAAGTTCAGGGACAGTACCAAGGCCCTGAGTTCAAGTCCCAGGACTAGCACAAAAACAAAAGAAAAAGAAAAAGTATTTGCCTAGTCTATGCCTTTTCTGAGTGTTCCCTTGGCTTAGAATGACCTTTTCCCCTACCTTCTACTAAACTAATCCTCCTTCTCCTCAGTCCAAGATTGAAACTTGAAACACTTGGTTACTTCAGTGTTGCTTTTTATGGCAGGCAGTTTTCTGCAGTCTCCAACCGTTTATACTTTATTCATATTGTTAGGTTTTTAAAAAGAGATAGCCGAGTAAGAACATCACCACACAGGTGGTATTCAGGTAAGGAGTAGGTTTATTCATCGGTCCGGCTGGCACCAGGCCATCTTGGTCCTCCACGTGGTGGGGAAAGGCCTGGGAAAGAGAGCTGGGAGAGCTGGGAAAGAGAAAGAGCTGGGAAAGAGAGAGAGCTGGGAAAGAGAGAAAAGAGCTAGAAAAGAGAGAAAAGAGCTAGAAAAGAGAGCATCTGGGAAAGAGGTGGCAAAGAGCAAGCTAGGAAAGAGAAGAGAGCTGGGAAAGAGATGAGAAGGAAAGAGCTGAGAAAGAGCTTAGAAAAGAGCAGAGAGAGAGCGTCTGGGCCTGGGCTAGGCCTTATCTAGGGTATGTGCAGAGAAAGGTGTGGCCACATCAAATTCAGATGTGACCGCAGCTGATGCAGATGTGACCTCTTCCAGGTGTCCCAGTTGCCTAGGTAACGCAGGTACTGGGTGGAGACTTTGCTGCGAGGAGGGTGGAGTCTGCTAGCTATATAAGAGCACTTTTTTTGTTCTGTCATCATTTTTATATGCTAGTATTTTGTTTTCTTTCTTTTCATTGACAATTCATAAGAGTCTAAGCCAGTTATTTTGAAGAATGTCCCACATTCTGAATTTATTTGCCTATTTCCTAGTTACATTTATTTATTTATTTATTTTGTTGGTCGTGGGCCTGAACTCTGGGTCTAGGCACTGTCTCTCAGTTCTTCAGCTCAAGGTTAGCACTCAACCACTTGAGCCAAGCACTAGTTCTGGCTTTTTCTGTTTATGTGGTGCTGAGGAATCGAACCCAAGGCCTTATCTATGCAAGGCAAGCATTCTACCACCTTCCCAGCCCTACATTTACTTTAATTACTTAAGTTATCTCTACCACAGTTTTCTAATTCATAATCCTACAGTAGTACTGCTAGTAGCACCTTTCTGGCCCTATATTTCTTTCTTTTTTTTTTTTTTTTTTGGCCCTATATTTCTATACTATATTTCTTTAAAATGTGTTATATATAGTTGGAAAAGATCAGGACGGAAATATTGGCTCTTACCTTGTTTGGGTAAGAGCTTGCTCTTCATTCTTACCTTATCACACATTTTCTATTATTATTATTTTGGGACCAGTCGTGAGGCCTGAACTCTGGGCCTGGGTCCTGTCCCTCAGCTCTTCAGCTCAAGGCTAGCGCTCTACCACTTGAGCCACAGCACCACTTCCAGGCTTTTTCCTTTTTGCTTATGTGGTGCTGAGGAATCGAACCCAAAGCCTCAGGCATGCAAGGCAAGCGCTCTACCACTGAGCCACCTTCCCAGCCCCTAATCTAATTATTTTTATATTGTCTTTACCCTTTTGGAGGGAAGATTTAATATAGGGTATAGTTGGAGGGAAGATAAATATAGGGTAGAGTAAAAGGGCAGTTAAATTCTTAAGGACTTTTCTTAAGTGTGTGTTTTTTTAAAAAATTTAACTGCGTTATTAATAAAGAACTTTTTGGTCCTGCTTAGTAATTAGAATTTTTATATAAAATGTGTCTTTTTTCTGTATCTGTAAGTAGAATAAAACAAAACTTTCTTTAGTACTTCCATAATGACTTCTGAGCCATGTGAGGTGGCATACATCTGTAATCCCAGCACTTGGGAAACTGAGGCAAGAGAATCACAAATTCTAGGCCAGCTTGGGCTTATGCAGTGAAACTGTGCTTCAAAAACCCAAAACCTAGCCTGGCGCTGGTGGCTCATGCCTGTAATCCTAGCTACTCAGGAGGCTGAGATCTGAGGATCAAGGTTCAAAGCCAGCCCGGGCAGGAAAGTCCATGACGCTCTTATCTCCAATAAACCACTAGAAAACCGGAAGTGGTGCTGTGGCTCAAGTGGTAGAGCGCTCACCTTGAGCTGAAGAACGCAGGGACAGTGCCCAAGCCCAGAGTTCAAGCCCCATGACAGACTGAAACAAAAAACAACCCCTCCCCCCAAACCAAACAAACATAATGACTTCTGAATGTGAATTCCTGTGGCTTAGGGGTTTGGGGCATCAATAGTTTAGAATGAAACAATTGTTTATGAAACATCATACAGTATTAGCTTGTTTCTCATATAGGTAGAATACAGAAAAATGCTATTTATTAAGTAGTAAATGTTTATTAAACTTACTTTATTATGCATGACTGATTTGATTTTAGGAGTATTTACTAAATAGCACAATGTTTGCTATGTATTGCTAACCTTTATTTTGTTTGGTAAGGGAGACATAAAAGGTAAGCACCATTTCATTGGTAAGTGTTTTTTGAACACCTAATGTATACTAGACAAAATACTGAAGCATAAGATAAGATAGATGATTTTTTTAATCCTAATAAATATGTCTAGGGTGGTGTGTACCACAACAAGGAAACAAATGAATAGGATTGAGGGCCTAGGCATAGAAATCCAAATTAAATAGAACTAATGCTTTTGAATGACAGCAAAGCAGAAAATGTGGGTCAAGGATATTCCAAGCTGAAGAGTACTGGTTAAGTCACAGTAGCAAAAAATGTCATCTAGTTAGGTACTTGCAAAGAAGTGAAGCTAGAGCATTGTTTCTGAAAGTGTGATCCTTTCTGCGGTTGTCAGCATCATCTGGGAGCAATTCTTAAACCTCTAGATCATTCTTATCTTAGCCTTCTAAGTGATCCTGTAAGTAAAAGATCAGAACACTGGACTAAATTTAAGGAATGTGAAAAAAGAATAGCAATTATAATGTAGCCTCTCACATGAAAGGTATTAAAGTTCTATGATTAGGTTAGATAAAACCATTTTCTTTTTTTTGTTTTGTTTTTACCAGTTCTGGGGCTTGAACTCTGGGCACTGTCTCTGAGTTTCTTTTGCTTAAGGCCAGTGCTCTACCACTTGAGCCACAGCCCCACTTCCTAAATCATTTTCTTTTAAAATCTCTATATTGAGTGATTTCTTATGGGAAAGGGAATAGATAATACTATAATCTTGTTTTGTTTTTAATCCCCAGATATTCAAACAACAATTTATCAGTCTGTTAACCTTTTACTTACTGATTGCTTTGTTTTTCTTTTAGTCCAAGGACAAAATGATGAGAGGCTCTCGCAGAGGATGTGTTAGACTCAGAGTAAGTATTCATTTTTATGAAAATAAATTTTGACCCAAAAATGTGCTTCGATAAAGTTGTGGAAGTCTAAATTTTGCTTAGCTTTCTTACTTTTAAATGTTAGGGCACATAATATTTCAGAGAGGAAAGTATGAAAACCAGGATGTAATGTTGTAACCAAGACTTACTAATATTTTCAAACCTCATCTTTACAGATAATGGACAAATTACTTGTAGTATTGGTGATATAGCGATAGAAGAAAAGGACTCAGAAAAACTTTCCCCTATTGCTTTGCCTTTTGTGTTCAATATTAAAAATACAGCAGCACTATAAAGTAGGAATATAATTCTAGCCATATGTAAAATTTTAAATTTTGTGGTAGCCACATTTATTTCAACATATAATCATACAATTTTTTTTTCTTGGTGGTCTTAGGGTTTGAACTTAGGGGCTTGGGCTTGCTTACTTGGCTTGCTTGGTGAGCCACACCTCCGGCTCTATTGGCTAGTGATTTTAGAGATGGAGTCTCATGAACTTTTCTGCTTGGACTGGCTTCAAACCATGATCTTCCTAGTCCAAGTCTTCTGAGTAGCTAGATTTTAGGTATGAGCCACCATGATCCAGCTAATACACAGTTATTAATATGATATTTTACATTATATTTTGGTACTAAGGATTTGAAATCCAGTGGGTCTTTTTTACAGTACTGAGACTCTAACCCAGGGCCTTGCACATTGTAGACAGCCACTCTACCCACAGAGCCCTTCTGGTATGTTTTTGCACTATGGACACATCTTAATTCAGTGTTAGATATACTTCAGGGGAGGTGCCTAGTAGCCCCTTAACTCTATTTCTGCCTTTTTGCATCCTTAATTAGTTTATTTGTTTCTGGTGCTAGGAATTGAACCTAGGCACAACCTAAGTTGTAGATGTGAATGTTTGGTAGACATTGTTGCCTTTATTATCAATTCTTGAAAAAATTGTTAAATGATTCCATGAAGTTAAATTATAATGGCAACATTCTGGCACTGATGTAAGAGAGTGATAGAATTATAGGATGGAAATGAGATAGGCTATATATGTATACATATACACATATGCATACATGTATACACACACACACACACACACATATACACACACACACGTATCTGGTGTGTATGTGATAGCATAAAAATTTTTTTAAATTGAGCTAAAATTTTCCTTTGGTTCCTCTTGTCTGAGTGGCCTAATTGCTTTTCTAAGTACTTGCTATCAATCTTAGTCACCTCTGAGATTGGTATTAACGGCCTTTTTGGCTTGAGGAAGGCATAGTAATGAAACTTTGGCAAGTGTGTGTTGAGACAACACTTCAGCCAAATTTATCTTGATTTAAGCCATGGTCTTATTGCTAATGCATAACTCAGGGCCTTATACTTGATACATTGTGCTACTCAAGCCATCCCCCCAACCCTTTTTTGTTTTAGTTAGGCTTTAAAAAAATTTAAAAACCAGCATCTATTAGTTGTTTTTATTGTGTTATTTCCATACACACATACATAATACATACATTGTACCCTGACTAAAGTCATCCTTTGTCACTTTACCTTATGCCCCTCCCTCTTCTTAAAACAATTTCAGCTGGTTTTATTGTTCTATTTTCATACAGGCATATAAAATGCTTTGACCCTCATTTGTTCACCCTCATTTATGCCTCACCCTTCTCCCTCTTGCTGATACCTGCCCTGAACAGCTTATTTTACTGTCCTATCATCATTTTGTCTAGAGTATATTAATTATACCAAGAAGGTTTATTGTGGTATTTCACATATGCATATATTGTATTTTAGTCAGAATAACTCCCTCATTGCTCTTTCTTTCCTCATCTTCCAATCCCTATTGTTTGTTATTAGTGATATTTCTTATGTCATCTTCATTCATAGATGCAATGTATTTTGATATTATTCATCATCATTATCTTTCCCTCTTCCCTTCCCTTTTGTGTCCCCAGTGCCATAAAAATGCATATAATATATACCTTTAAAGTCTATATTCTGCAAATGACTGTACACATTTAGCATTTAGCTTTTTGAGGTTGGCTTATCTTGGTCAACATAATGATCTCTAGTTCCATTCATATTTCTGAAAAATCACATAATTTCAATTTTTTCATGGCTAAATAATACTCTACTGTACCCCCCCCCCCCCCATACATACATACCCACACACACATACACCTATCTTTTCTATATCAGTTCATCAGTTGTTGGCCACCTTAGCAAATTCCATAGTTTGGCTTTTGTGAACAGTGCTGCAATGAACATGAGTATGCAGATATTGTGCGCACTCTCTCTCTCTCTCTTCTCTCATTTGTCAGGGGCTTAAACTTGGGGCCCTGGGTGCTGTCTCTGAGTTTTTTTTGTTCAAGCTTAGTGCTCTAGTAGTTTGACACTTTGAGCCAAGGTGTCACTTCTGGGACAAGAGTCTCACGGACTTTTCTGCCCAGGCTGGCTTTAAAACTGTGATCCTCAGATTTCAGTGTCCTGAGTAGCTAGGATTCCAGGCATGAGCCGTCAGTATCCAGCTCTCTTTTTTATAAATTAGTTATGTAGGGGAGGATTTCATTGTTGCATCTTCATACATTTATTTCATTGTTGCATCTCCATATGTTTATAGTGTATTATTATCAATGTTACTCTCCTATTACATTCCACACGTTCTTCCCTCCACAGAATAGCATTTCCAACAGGTTTCCTTGTCCCATTTCATAGTTTTCATAATCTATTTCAACAATACTCAGTTTGATTTATCCTCTTCACCAGCATAACTACCTCCATCAGTCCCTATCCACTGAGAGTCTGTTCTATTGATCAGCAACTTTTGTTGAGTTTCCTTTCTGCTCTTGCAATGTGTTATTCACCCTTTTTTTCTTTCTTCCCTCTGCCTTAGATTTTCTTTCCCAGGCTGGCTTTGAATCTTGATCCTCAGATCTCAGCCTCCTGACTTGCTAGGATTACAGACATGAGCCACCAGCATCCAGCAGGGAAACTCTTTTAATGTTTATTGCCCATTATGACTCTAATTAAGTGGTTTATATATTCTTTTTTTTTTAATTTTTATTTTTTTATTGTGAAAATACAGAGGGATTACAATTACATGGGCAAGATAATGAGTACATTTCTTATCAAGCATTGTAGCCTCCTCCTTTGTTTCCCCTTCCCATCCTCCCCCCGTCCCCCCACCAATCCTCCCTCCCCTATGACCCAGCAATCCCACTTTTGGGCATTTACCCAAATGGTTACAAACAAGACCACACTAAAGCTACCAGCACAACTATTTTTATTGCAGCATTATTTACTATAGCTAAGATATGGAACCAACCCAGATGCCCCTCAGTAGATTAATGGATCAAGAAAATGTGGTATATATACACAATGGTTTATATATTCTTGGCTCAACTTTGACAGCTCATATGCATCTAGAAATTTTTCATTTCATCTAAAGTATTTCCATGTTATCTTTTGAATTTTATATTTGCGATGTTTTCTTTCTTCATCTCCAAGTTTGTTGTTTTGAGTTTTTTCTCACCTTTTTTGTCATATTAGCTAGAGGTTTATTTATCTTGTTAATTTTTTGAAAGAGGAAATTTTTGTTTTATTGTTTCTTTGTATAGATTTCATCTATCATTTCATTAATTTCTGCTCTAATTTTTACTATTTCTCTCTACCAGCTTTGGGGTTGGTTTTCTCCTGATTATTCGTAAGTTTCAGTTGCATCATAAAATTTTTTTGAGTGCTTTCTTTTTTTCTTTTTTTTTAATGTTGGCCTTCATAGCTATGTACTTTCAACTTTTTTCTATTTTTGCTGTGTCTCAGAGATTCTGTTAGGATGTGCTTTCATTTTAATTGGTTTCCAGGCACTTTTATTATTTCTTCCTCCTCTTCCTTCCCTCCTCCTCCTCCTCTTCCTTCTTCTTCTTTCTTCTTTTTTTGCCAGTCCTGTGGCGTAAACACTGTTCCTGAGCTTCTTTTGACTCAAGACTAGCACTCTACCACTTGAGCCACAGCACCACTTGCAGCCTTTTCTGCTTAAGTTATACTGAGGAATCAAACCCAGGGTTTCATGCATGCTAGGCAAGCACTCTACCACTAAGCCACATTCCTAGCTCTATTTCTTCTTTTATTTCTGTTGTTCAACATGTGCCATTCAGTCTCCATGTACTTGAATATTTTCTGTAGTATTTTTTGTTGTTGAGTTTTAGTTTATTTACAGGTAGAATACAGGGGGTTATTTTAATTTTTTCTCATACTTGTATATGTCTTTGGATGTGATTGAGTTTGGAGAAAATTCAGTTGGCTGCTGAGAAGAATGTGGAGTTCCTGGGGAAATACTTGGTAGTATTTGGGCTATAATGTCATTTAATTCTATGTTTTTAAAAATATTTTGTTTGAATGATGTATCTATTGGTAATAATGGCCCTACCACTTGAGCCACAACTCCACTTCTGGCTTTTTAGTGATTAATTGAAGGGTCTTGTGAACTTTCCTGCCTGGGCTGGCTTTGAACCACAATCCTCAGATCGCTGCCTCCTGAGTAGCTAGGATTATAGGCATGAGCCACTGCATCCAGCCCTCCTAATGTTTATTTTATTCATTTGTTTATTTATTTTTGCCAGTCCTGGGGCTTGAATTCAGGGCCTGAGCACCATCTCTGAGCTTGTTTTTTCTTAAGGCTAGCACTCTACCACTTAAGCCCCAGAGCTACTTCCAGCTTTTTCTGTTTATGTGGTGCTGAGGAATTGAACCCAGGTCATTGTACTTGCTAGGCAAGCACGCTACCACTAGGACCCTAATGTTTAATTTCACATGAGATAATTTTGTAAGTAGAGCCTTCTTTCACCTATTATTGGTTACCCAGTAGTATAGTTCTTTTTTTTTTGGGGGGGGGTCCGGTTGTGGGCCTGAACTCTGGGCCTGGGCGCTGTCCCTCAGCTCTTCAGCTCAAGGCTAGCGCTCTACCACTTAAGCCACAGCGCCACTTC